GAAGAAAATTAACTCTGTCCCAGCCGAAACCAGGACAATCTCCCGATCAGCAGTGTTGGAATTCCTCGTTCCTTGGTGAGAAGAAACGTGGGAAATGGCAGCTCTGCCACTTCCGTGAGCAGCTGGAAGGTGCGTTTGAGTCTGCTCTGGACTTTGCTGCTACATATTATAAATGCTGCGTTGGGATCTGGCAGTGGGACCCAACCCTATGAAAGTAACAGTTATGAGCCAAACCACACATACATATTTTACACACTACCTGTAATAAAAAGACTTGTTTTAAAAAAATGTTATCATCATGTAGAATCAATAAAACTCAAACGTTATCTAATTGCTTGCAAGCTTTGAAAGTGCTGCAAGGCCATTAATCACAAGTGTGTCATGATTTATTACTGTAACTACAAGTAAATATCTAAACATGAAGAGCTCCTATTTCAATGATCTACAGTAGCATGCTTTTATTCGTCCACAGTCATTGGCAAATTGGAACTGTGTCTCTGAACAGCGAAGGATACGAGTGTCTACGGAAGGGAGCTGAAATGTTTTGTTGATCTTACCTCCAGCTGTCTAGAAGCAGTGCTCTCAGATTCTTAACATTTCTCTGGCTTCGTAATATTCTAAACAAGCTGCAAATTTTGAGCAAGTCAAGAATTATTTTCAGGGCTCATTTAAGGCAAGAACTGATAATTTCCTGAACTGGCTGTATCCCATCCGTAGAGTTCATCCTTAGTTTTCAGCTGCATTGCACTTCGCTGAAAGCGTCACCTTGTCATCAGCAGAGCGGCATCGCTCACCAGTCACAAAAATGCTAAAACTTGAGTGGGGCACAGGCCCACTATGAGTCTGTGGAGGATCTTTAGAGATGGGAAACACAAGTTCAGCCCTAACTCCTTCAGCTTCTCCCCTTTTTCCCTCTGGAGCAGAGGCAGGGTTTAATCCGAGTCGCCCATTTTTGCCACGTCGTCTAACTGCTGGACAAAGAGGGGAGATCATCAGCATCTCCTTTAGTTTTTAAACTGGTTTCAGTCATGATGCTTTTTTGTGGGTTTGGGGTTTTTTTTGTTGTTGTTGTTTGTTGGGTTTTGGTTTTTGTTTTTTTTTTTTTAATTGGAAAAAGGGCAGTTACTTAGTCTTGGTAATACTGTTTTAAACAGCTTGAAATTAAAATTTTCTACAGTTTCCTCTGAAGCAAGACATTGTCTTGGCATCTCAAATAGCCTGATAGATTTATAAAAGAATTCATTGAGCTCACCTGATCTTGATATCTGGAGCACCATGGGCACATGAACATTTGAACTTTGGCTGTCATCCCCGCAGATAGCATGCCTGACATAAAAATGAGTCACAGCCTTCAACTGAATCCCTTTTAATTGTGCCTAACCAGAAAAAATCTGTGCAGTGTCTGAAAATCGGTGTGTGACAGCCTTTTTGGGAACAGAGAGTTCTTCGGCTCCTGGGCAATGCAACGTGCGAGAGAGGCGTGAGAAATGTCACTTGTTCGCAAGAGGCCACTTGAGTCGAAACGTCTCGTTGCTCAGCTGTGCCTCTCCGGAGAGAAATGCGACGTACAGCTGGCGCAAGCCAGCCAGATGCGTGAGGAGTCATTGGTCATAAAACACACCTGGGTGTTTGTAAACTAT